ATTTTATTTCGAAATTTTGCGTTATAATTCGTTGATAATTTGAAATTAAGAATGCTCTCTTCAGCAAAATAACGTACTATTATGCGGCTTAACTCTGAATGGATAAAAGAACTTTACAGTACTTGTGGGTTATTTCCTTTTTGACCTTTTCATTCATTGTTGTAGAGAGCTTTTACAAATGAGAACCGAATTGTAACAGTTTTTAAATATGATCAGTTTTAAGTTATTTACATTTTTTCTAGCATAGGTAAAGATTAAATAGATGGATTGCATGAAAGGTGACATGATCAAGAAGGAAGCGATGACTGAGATGACGGATGATAGAGTTATTTGGAGGACGAAAACCCGGTGCGCCGACAGGAGTAGGATAAGGTAGGGGGAGATGAATATGACATTTTTCTAATACTATACGTGAAAACATCGAATGAAATTAGAAATTATGAAACAAAAACAATAATGTACAAAGTTGTAAGTATTTGTAATTTATATGTAGTTATATAAACATTACAAGGAAAGGAAGTGGTCGCGGCCACAGCACATCCGCTTTATCATATCCGAGGAATGTAAATTGAATTTATAAATATTCATATATTAAAATAGCTTATAAATCTCATAGACAAGACACATTTAACGGGTCTAAAACCTCTGTATAAACTCTTTATTGTCTTTTGTTTCAGTTTTTAAACACTAGCGGAATCTCTTACCATAATTCTTATACAAAGTTTACCTAAAAGCCTAAACATGTACCTTAATAGAGTTTAAACGACAACTTGAGAAAGATGATCTAAATGAAAACAACATCAAACAAAAGCAGAACGCTCTTGTGTTGGCTAAAAGGAGACATAAGGGAGTAAAACAATGAGCGTCGACCGACATGTCTCCAGTGGACACTATGCTACGGATCTTAAGAGGCACTCGAGTGTGGGCCATGAAAAATGCGGGTATGTTTTAATAGCATAAGCGGAAGCGATTTACCTGAACCTGACATAGTTTTTAGGTTTTTGTCTCGCTATATTTATTGATTATTGTTAATTGTGTTTTTTGTTTATTAAATAGATTAAAAATGGATTGGTAACAAATTTGACACAACAATGAATTTAAATGTTACCAGATTTTTACTTTAACCTCAAATTACTTTAGATATATAATCAAGAGTGTTCTTTTTTTCAACTCATTTATGGTTCTTTGTCATATTTCTAGTTTAAAAAAAATTGATGTATTTTACTAACATGTTCATAAGAAACGAAGTCTTCAGTCAGCCAGTGATTTTAACACATGCAGGTGTATCGAAATGTCGGTAATTTAAGTAGCTAATTGATGGGAAGAAATTTTTTTTTATTAACATTTAATTAGGATTTAAATCATTAATTATTGTTTTATTTAAAAAATATTATTATCTATAATTAAGTCTAAAACCAGCGGAATCTATAAATTTGTTGTGTCTGGTTATCCAGATATCAGTACTGATATCAACGCCACCTATCGGCCTTTACCATGAACTTAATAACTTCTAAGACCAATTAAAAGTGCACAAAAGTCTTCATCACCATTAGTCCAGCTGTTTCTAATTATTGTTTACCATTCTTGGATTTTTACAAGTAAAGTATTACAGTATTTTTTCAAAAAAATGATGTATTTAAGACAGTTTAGTGGCCACAACGAACTCTCAAGAAAGTGAACAATAGTTACTCAATAATTTACGAAGTTTAAAGTTGCTTTTTTGAAGCACTCGCTGTTCTTTTTAAGTTTTATTTTATAGTTGAATATTGTAATATGTTTACAAATGTTATCGGAATATAAAGTAGTACCTAGTAAATATCAATATCTATCTGCCACACTTTGACTAAATTATCGCACAACAGTTGTGCGATTGTTTCGCAGCCAATTGTTTGTTTTCACAACTAAAAATGTGAGCGCATCAGTATATAAGATCATAGGAATCAAAGTGCGACAAAACAGTTGTGCGATAGTTTAGTCAAGCGTGTGCGCGCGCTTTTAAACTCCGAATTTCATACATGTTTTGACGCCCGCGCCGGACAGATTATAACCTGCGCTTCTAAAAAAATCATTTCACAATTTGGACGTAAGAGTACACGAGTTATGATTTTCAAATTGACTCAAAAAGTTATTTCAAAAGAAACAAAAATTTTCTTACTAATATTATAAATGCGAAACATTGGAAGGACATTTGATAGAGTTTGTAGCCTAAACTGCTTAACGGATCTCAATTAGAATATGCACTGATGTAGATAGTGTCGAAGAACACATAGACTACTCACTTTGTGTTTTATTCTACGAGGACATAGTCTCGGGCGACAGCTAGTGTAACATTTTTAAATTTAACTTAAAAATATGTTTTATGTAATTCAAGTTTGTATTCTTTATTGGCATAAAGATATTTTCTTATAAACTCAAGTGAGAAATAAAAAAAAATACACCACAATCCACGCGTCTGTGTCCACCGGAAGTTGTTAGACAACAATAACCACAATGGCTTTCATAGTTGGCAAACATTACAACGACCGGAAGTGGTCGCGAATAGCATTTCCGTTTTCGAGATGGCGCTTTAGCGCATCCTCTTCCGGTCAGCTGTCATATATAATTGTGTACAATACACATGTAAGTTTACACATTTATGTTTTCATATATTCTTTATTATAATGAAGAATGGGATAGCGAAGAAGAGATAAGGACCCGAATTGGAATAGCCCAAG